AATTGCAGCTCTGTTTGTTGTACTATTCTTTCTAAGTGTAATTGTTCTTTGATGGCAGCTTTTTTCTGAGCTGTGGTATATGAAATGACACATCCCCTAATAAAAGCTTTAGCTGTCTCCCAGAGTAACGAAGGGTTGACATCTGGGGTCTTATTAGTATCCATAAAGAAATTCCACTGATCTGTAATGTAGTCAACAAAAGATGGGTAGCTCAGTAAGGAGGGATTCATCCTCCAGTGGCGAGAGGCAGGATCAGCATAGGGGGGGCTAATGCATAGAATAACAGGAGAGTGATCGGAGATTGTACATGTGCTGATTGAACAGTTTCTAACTCGATCCAATACCATTCTTGAAGATAGGAAGAAATCAATCCGAGAGAATGTTTGATGGGGATGAGAGAAAAAAGTATAATCTCTCTCCCTAGGGTTAGTGACTCTCCAGGTGTCATATAATTCTAAGTCTTGGCAGAACTCTTGTAATCTCAGACTTTTTCTTGAAGTTGTAGTAGACCTGGGAGGAGACTGGTCAACGTCTGGGTCGTGAATACAATTAAAATCCCCCCCCACTACTATGTACGGCGTATGTACTGAAGCAATGTCCGACAGCAGTTTTGGGAAGAAAGTAGCCTCGTATATATTTGTTGAGATTAACAATGACACAACGTGGTAAGCTGCTGAGCTCTAGTCATAATGTTCTTAATTCGGTTTTGAGTAAAATCAATTTCCGAATCGTTTTCTCACATAGAGCCCAGTTAAAATAGTTTCAAAATCTAATATGTGAAAGAGGTCAGCATCAGCACCCTTTCCCTCTGTCTGTTTTTGGAGTTCGGAATGAGTTCAGCGTTAGCTATGTGGTGTTTTCCATCCATCTTTGTTGCTGACACAAATGAAGACACAATTACTGAAAAAAAAATAGCACACAATCCATTCAAAGGTTCTTCAAATATATATGTTTATTTAATTATATGGATTGCAATTTTTGAAGAAACAAATGTTTAAAATCTGTGTATCTTTGGTGAATAATTTAAAAATGCTTCTCCTGCAATCTATGCCTTTTCTTTGTTATTCCTTTTCTTTTAGTGTCCCATGAAGTGCTTTTGATTACCTTGTTAATGAACAGCGCAATATAAATAAATCTGCCTTTATTGTATTAGATGCATCTCAGCCAATTAATTTCACTCATGTTTCTGTATTCTCCACAGGCTCTAAAAGATGCCTAAATATCTGTCAGTGAACCCTTTTGAAGAAGTAAGTGTGAAGACTGAAAATGAACAACGTCCGAACACACCGCGCTACATACGTAAAGAGGGCACTTGTCGTGTTCTGTTTCGCCACGTCCCAGAAGAATGGATGCTGTTTGTTACTGACATCTTTACCACCTTAGTTGAGATCAGGTGGAGGGTGATGTTTCTGATCTTTGCACTGTCTTACATCCTTTCCTGGCTTTTCTTTGGGATCCTCTTCTTTATCATCGCCTTAGTTCATGGAGATGTCAGAGACCACAACAATGATCCCTGCGTATTTGAGGTGCGCAGCTTCACAGCCAGTTTCCTCTTTTCTCTGGAAACCCAGACAACCATTGGTTACGGCTTTAGAGGAATGTCTGAGAACTGCATGATCGCCATCATCATTGTCACCATACAGGACGTCATCAGCTGCTTCATTGACACTTTTGTCATTGGAATTGTAGTGGCCAAAATGGCCTCAGCCAGAAAGAGGGCGCAAACAGTTGGGTTCAGCAACCGTGCTGTCATCAACCTTCGGGATGGTTTTCTGTGTCTTTCATGGAGGATTGGAGACTTTCGCAGGCACCACATGGTGGAGGGAAGCGCCTGTGCTCAGATTCTTCGCACTACAGTGCACACAACTGGAAAAGTCGATGTGACCTATGAAGACCTGTCACTTCAGCAGAAGGACATAATCTTGATCACACCAACCACCGTTTACCACCGGATTGAGTCTGGAAGTCCACTGTACAAGATGAGTTTGGAAGACCTACGAAAGGCAGACTTTGAGTTGTTGGTTTCGTTCACCTACACAGATGACTCCACTGGCATGCTGCATCAGACCCGGACGTCGTACACAACAGATGAGATCCTCTGGGGTCACCTTTTTCAGGAGATGATCAGGGTCACTAACAAGCACTACAAGGTGGATTATAACCTGTTCAATAACACAGCTAAAGTGCTGGTACCTCTGAATAGCGCTGAGGAGTATGAGAAGAGGAAAATTGAGAAGGAGGAGCAGAAGCAGCTTCGGCTTTTAGCTCGAGCTTCTCCAAGACATTCTCCTAGGGGCTCCCCTCGGCCATCTTCACGATCACCACAGCAAAGTCATCCAGAGAATCGCTTGAACCCGCCAATAGTATTGGTTGAACTAATGGGAGACAACCAGCAAGAACCAAATGTTCCAACAACAGAAGGTGGAAATCAACATACAGAAACGTTGACTGTGCCAAAAGATTCCACAATCGCAGAATAAAGAAAATAGATCCTCGCTGCTTGAGATTTTACCTATACTCTCAACACCAACTGCAGACATCAAACATACGCAAGAATACCAACAGCAACACTGAGAACATCCCTGAAGCTCTAAAGATATTTAATCCCTCAAGAATATATACATTTTGGTTCAGCTAACATTCTTCATATTTGTTTAATTCGGCACACCACATGACTCTGCTTGATCTAGAGAATTAAGACAATTTAGGCATTTGGATAAAGGACCCCTTTAAGCTACAGGTCACAAGCTCTGGAGTTTAATATTAGACGGATTCTGACAACGTTTCTTGAACAAAACCAGAGCCACACTCATGGCCACCACTGGTAAAGTTGTGAAAGAGGCCTTAAATCAAAGCCCAGCATAATGTCAGTGAAAATTCTCAGTCTTCCGAGAAGCACAGAAAAGTTTTCTAAAAAAAAACAAAAAAAAAAAACATACTTCTGAAATTCCAACCCAGCAACACTTAAAGACTGGTTCATCCTTAAGACAGAACACCCAAACCAAAGCTGAGAAGCATGGTTAATGCGATCTAGTGTGGACTGTACAGCCTCCTATATTGGAGAAACCAAAACAGCTAGATGAACACGTGGTACAGCAAGAGGAGAGTCTGTAACTCTGGACAAGATTCAGCAGCACATTTGCATCTCAAGAACAAAAGACACACCTTTGAAGATCAAAATGCTCCAATTTTGGACAGAGAGGACAGATGGTTAGAAAAAGGGGTTAAGGACATCTTCGATGTTCAAAGAACATCACTGGACAGAGGAGGTGGATTGCTGTTTCAATTTTTAAGCATTTACAATCAGTCATGGAACTCATTCCAAAATTTGGGATTATACAGTACATATTATAACATGCAGTATCTTGCACAGAACGTTAATCTTCCTCTACTTCCATAAAAGAACATTGGTGTTCTTTTATGTTTTTTGGTGTTGTTTTGGTGATCGTTTTATTTAATGTCATACTTTTATTTAATGTCATACTCTCTAAAAAAAATATGGAACTCAAACAATGATCCAAAAACTTCTAGAGGAAAAATAGTTCCAAAACATCACAGATCCTCCACTATAATTAATAGTAGACTTGATGGATTTTTTTCATTGGGTTTTTAGCTAGTATACCTTAATATAGTCTCCTCACATTAAAGCATTTAGGCTATTCTGATTGTGCTAAAAATAAAAATATCACATTATATTTGTAATATATTTGGAGATGGCTGTGAGAATAGACCATTGGAAACAAGGATTTTTTTAAAAACTTTATCTTATTCTTACCAAGGGTGCCAAAAAGTGCAGATGGATTTGTGATCTATGCTATTTCCTTTTTTTTTTTGTCATAAATGTTCTAAACAGAAAATCTAGTTATGATACTGTACAACAAATCCATACATGCTAGTTTTTTTTTCTATGTATATGTACATTTACAAACACCACTGAAATAAACACAGTACTAATTATTTTATGTATTGGGCATTATTGTATGCACAAACCGAATGTACATTTTCAATTAATAACGCTTTTGGGAAGTTTTACCCTTAACTGTTTTTAAAAGCATATTATAAAAGGTGTAAATTTGTTAATTCCTACAGAGTGTAGTACAGTGCTACTGCTCTTACCGGTAATTGTTGCTGTGGGCTGTCATTCAGCTGTGCAAGGAAAAGATCCTGCAGATGTTTACTTGCCGATAAAGTAGAATAAAGCAATGAGGAGAAATGTTTGACTTTGAAAATTCCAGAAAGCAACCAATCATTGTTTTTATTGTTCTGTTTTAAATTGAACACTTTCAACAGGTGAGATAAACCATTTCAGCTCCGGGTTACTCTGCCCCGCCGCATGGCCAGATAAGATTGTCCGATAAATTATTGGGATTCAATGCTATAAACATAAAGTTAAATTTTTTATTAAATAATGTAAGTATATTCTTAATCCTTCTTTTTTAGATAAAAAAATATATACAGTATATTGTCATCCTTATCACGCCCACCTAACTATGCTACAGCTGGTATATATTATTTCTGGGTATGTATTATTTCCATCCAATAGACTCTTGAGTCAGTAAATTACATTAAATCATTGACCATCAATTGTATAACAGACTCAAAGGAATGTGTGAAAGGAGAAAAGCTTAATGTAGACAGTTCCTTTTTATCTTTAAGTATGGGCTAAGAGATTAAAGCTGAGTAAGAGCAAATTGGAGAGAGAATGATGTCTGTTGGTGAGGTATTAAAAAAAAAACAAAACAACTGCAGGCTTTGTCATAAGGCACAAAAATTGGAATTGCTCAATTATTCGCAAACCCCAAATAAAGTAAGATGAAGATTGTTGCCTGTTTCTTCTTAGGTCTTCAATTACTGTCTATATTTATGTTTATTTTTTGAAAAATCTGACTGGAAGGGTCGTTTGTTTCCCCATATTTTGGCTGACAAAAGCTTTAAATGTTATTTCTGTACTTTATGAATGTTGTTTATTAAAGCATTTATAGTGGACTCTAAGATTAAAGTGTTATCAACGTCAAAGGCGTTTGGTTTCCTCTGTCCATTAACTTGTATTGATAAGACTTGTTTTTATACTAACCTTAAAGTTTTAGAATTTAATAAATCAATAATTCTAAATTTAATATTTTTTTTAAATGATAAAGAAAGATCAAGCTTTCAATCAACGCATTTAGCAAGATCTACAAATTAAGAATTTTTATGCTTAACTGAATAGTGAAGAAATAGCTTCCTGGAGATGATCAGTTGTAGTTTTTTCAAACCAAATACTGTTAACTGTTTAACGTTAAGCTGCTTCTGCATCATCGCGGGTGAATGGGAAGCAGCACACATCCCGGCAGAAATCAGATGATGACGTTCTCTAATGTACTCCAAAAATGCAATGACGGAAAACAGATGAGCTCAGATAATAAGGTTCACACAAGCTCCACCAGAGCAGCCAGAAAATGGACTTCATATTCTTTATTTTACATGACATGTTGTCAAATTTATAGCTGATTCTGCTATAATCAATTTATCAAATCACTAATTATAAAAAAAAAAAACTTTTAAACCTTTAGGTTGTGCTTGTTTTTCATGTTACATATATATATATATATATATATATATAAACATTTTGTATTTAAGGTAAAAAAAAATGTTTCATCCTTCAATACTCTCTTTCAAGAACTCCTCAAGTGGAAAAGATTAAGTTTCACCTGGTTTTATTGTGCAAAAATTCCTCTTTAAGAAGCCTTTGGTTAGCCGAATCTTAATCAATTAAATCAAAGAAGTAATCAACAGATTAATAATTTTGCAAAATAATTGTTAGCTGCAGCCCTAGCAGAATAATGAAGGACAAGAGCTGAGGAAAAGTGGGCAATGAACCAGAACAGAATAAAATCCAAATTTGGCAATAACAATAATAATAAAAAAAAAAAACAAGAAATAACTGAGACCCTAATCTACAAAGAAATGAACTACAATGGAAAAACTAGGGAAAATAACAACATGGAAGAAGCAGAGGTATAAAACACTGAAGTATCATAATGCTTTTGAAAATACTTCTACAGTTTCTTAAGATAACTCTTCTATTCAAGTTACAGCAATCTATGTTACCCACAATGCATTGCAACAGATAAAAAAACTCACTGCAAGGTTTAAATAAACTGTTAAGATAGCAGCTTATTCAAATAAAATAGTTTAAAAGGTAGATGTGGAAATTATCCAACAAACAGGACAGGAACAAAACAGCATGGCTCCATCATAAAGTGTGATTTATTTGGAACACGTTTGTCATTGCATATGCAGCAAAATGTCGCTAAATGTTTAGTGTGTGATCATGTTGATATCTAATTTATTCCAACTTAATAATTCTGATTCCAATTCATTTTGATATCTAATTTACTCCACCTAATAATTCTGATTCCAATGTGTGTGCTTTTACCTCAAATCACATATCAGTTTCTTGATCGAAAATCCTGATGCTATAGTAAATACATGGCATACTGAGCTGCATCCAGTTCTGAAAATTAAAACTAAAACGCAGTCTTTGACATATATTTTAGGTGCATCTGAAAAATTTTAATGTCACTAAAAAGTTTTCTTCAAGTAGATGAAACTGAAATTTTCAAAATTACATAAGTTTAATGCAAAAGGATTTCTAATACAAAACCTCAGCCTAATGAAAATGTATGGAGATTTGAATTAGTGCACTTCCTTGAGGCTCCTATTGCTCACTGTAATTGTGGCATGGAGGCCTGCATGTAGCTCTGCTTTTAAAAACTGCAAAACAGAAGTAAATTATTGAACTAACTTCTTGACTTCCTTTCCGAACTATATTACTATAATTATAAATATTACTATAGTTATATAATACTATATAACCATTAACTTTTAGATTTTTATTTAGGTGTTTAAAATATACTCGAAATCTTCTGTTTTGGTTCTGCTTTTTTTAGTCACTCTATTAAAAACTAAAACCTAAAAACTTTATTTCAAAAGTGATTCATTAGCAATAAAAATTAAGAATAAGCATCCAGGGAAGACAATTTTTAAGTGAGGGGTTTATGACTTTTAACATTGAACAGAACCGAGAACTAAAGGCAAAGCTGAAAACAAACTGTAGCAGCAGTTTTAATGACTCAGCTTCTTTTTTCTCGCAACAACAAAAATACTTTGAGATTGTTATGTCTCATAATAAATACCAGACATGCCAGACCTGTGGTCAACAGAATGATGAAAGCTTCTGTCACCATGATGAGCAGCACAAACTTAGGTTATTTTGTCTGCAATCGTAAATGTTTAGGGCAAGACAATTTTGCTGGTGGATAAAAACTATCTTTAAAATTCACCAAGATTGTGTGGCACTAGAAGCCTTCATTTAACAGAGGACATGAAGGGAATGGAGAAGAAATTCAGCAAAGGCCCCTGGTTCAGGATTTAAACCTGGGACAAGTGTCAACTGGACTAAAGCCTCCATATGTGGGTCTAACCCTAAGTGTCACCATCCGTGCCCCCAAAAATTTTCTCTTTTTTTTCCCTGAGATTTTACGGTACTAGTGTCTCATTTTTCTGACAGTAGGCTGACAGTAAAGGGGGTATGAAAGAGGGGGGAGACATGCGGCAAAGGACCACAGGCCAGATTTGAACCCTGGTCAGCCACTTCTGTACATGGGTGCACGCTAACCCCTGCGCCACCTACATGCCAATGTTCTCTTTTTATGAGAAACAATGCTGAATCATGTACTAGTCTTATAGGAAGTGGTTTCTTTAGATTAAAATAGAATAATAAAATTTGGCCTGGAAATGAATTATAATGGTTGTTCCATAAGCACTACTATTGCCTACAAAAATACAATATTTTACAATGTAAGATGAAAGTATTCTCATGACTCTGCCCCTCTGTCTGTTAGTCTTTGTTTTAATTGTAAGAGGTCTGAATTTATATTGCATCTTTTAAAGTCAAGGGAGTTGTCAAGTGCTCTAGACTACATTCAGTTATTCACACAATGGTGGCAGCTACACTGGAGCCACAGCTGCCCTGGGGCACACTGACAGAAGCGAGGCTGCTGTACAAACACGGACGTAATTTGGGGGGGAAGACAAGGGACAAGCCCCCTGCACTGTTTGAAAAGTCTGTTTTGGTCCCCTGCACTTTTTACTGTCCAAAAACAGTGTTATGCTAAAGTACACAAGGACCAAGCACTAGGACCAAGTGGAAACCCGCAGTACAAGCTGAAGCCTGCTTCCCTGAGTTCAGAACATCCACAAGCTCCTGAGTAGACCTTCGTCTTTTCTTGTGTGATTAGCTGTCGTCGCTGTCACTCCTGAGAGGCTCACTTTACAAACAACTGATGCGCTACTGAATCGGCTCTGTGATTGGATGGTCACAGCGCTGCTGAAGTCCTACGCGCTACCACAATTCTTGTTGTGTTACGACACAACAAGAATTGTTGTGTCGTAAGCCTTTATCTCTACTTTCTGGTACGTTTTGGATTTTTTAAATATCTTAAACAGGTCGAGGAGTTACAGTCTTGGAGAAGAACGTCGGTCTGCAAAGACACGTTGAGAGAATCTGCTAATTTATCTTGGACATTTTTGGTTCTCTTGGGTCATGTAATCTACAGGGGTTGTAATATCAGATGGTTTAATTTACACAAATCTTTGAATCAGTGCAATGTGTGTGTGTATGTGTTTGGTTATTAGAATC